GTGAACTTGCCCTTCCCCGTGGACCACATCACCAACCTGCCACGCAACGACTTCCAGATCCTCATCAAGATGCACAAGCTGACCTCGGAGCAGCTGGAGTTCATCCACGACATCCGTCGCCGCAGCAAAAACCGCATCGCCGCCCAGCGCTGTCGCAAGAGGAAGCTGGACTGCATCCAGAACCTGGAGGGCGAGATCCGCAAACTGGTACGATCACGTAACAAACACACACACATTCCAATCAAACACAACAGAAACCTACTGGGTCTCAAAGGTGCATGACAAAACCAGATCAAATATCAGACAACATCTAATTGATGCAACAAGTCTTAAAGTGGAAGCTTAAGTACCTGTTGTACCTTTGGTTGTTGTATACTATAGAATGCCTTTTAGATTAGTGATGTAGCACACCCTTTAGTGGTCATGTGGGCCAACTGTAGCTCCTCGAGAAGCAAGAAGGGATTGCTGTTAACTTTCACATCATTGTGTTGAAGGAAAAGTCACACATCAGGTATTATGGGGGGGGTGCAAAGATAAAGAGTAAAAATAAAGCCAAATACTTTCAATAAGGTACAAAACCAAATTTACACAATACCAGAAATGTATAAACAGATTAACTATAGGTGTCATAAATATAAAGTGGTTGATGGACAGGTTAATGGTAAGTGTCGTAAATATTAACAGTGAGGCGCAAATCAAATGGTTGAGCCAGGGTCGACTACATGACACCGATCTCTGGCCTTTGAACAAACGACTGATGCTCTTGTTGTTTTGGTCTCGGTACACCTGACACACTGCTCACTGGCGGAGTGGGCAGCATTGTTGATGACGCCGTGTCTTATGCACTCACAGGTGTGCGAGAAGGAGAAGCTGCTGAGCGAGCGCAACCAGCTGAAGGTTTGCATGTCGGAGCTGTGGCAGAACCTCTCCTTCCTCTCCCAGCAAGTGTGTCGGGAGGGGCCACCTCCTGTCTCCGCCAGCATCGACCTCACGTCCCACCCGCCGTCGCCTTTTTCAGACGAGGGCTCACCCCGGCCCAGGTCACCCGCGTCGCCACAAGGCGATACGGCGTGTCTGTCCGACGTGGGTCCCAGTCAGGGGGGACTGGAGGAGTCAGGTCTGGGGCAAGAGAACCCAGAGTGTCCACTGGTGCTGGGGTCCACAGAGGAGGTATGTAGCCCAACCGTAACAGTGGATTTCTGTCAGGAAATGACTGAGAAATGTACAACGGAGGAACAGAGGAGACAGAACTGTACTTAGAGTCTGGTGGCAGACAGTTTGGTCTATGACACCGTCATACTTCTCTTGATATTTGAAGTATTTTTTTCTTCTTTCTTTTTTTGTAATGGATGACACAAGCGTTGTCTTATCAGCAATACTGTTCAACAGGTATTTTTGGACTGGAGATAAAACAGAAGCACTGGCAGCTTTCTTTCTTTCTGTGTATCATCCTGATTTTTCTTCCTGTCAGCTTCCCTCCCTCTCTCGTGCATCATGGGAGGTTAAACTCAGGAATTCCTCAGAATGTTCAGTAATGTCCCTGTTAACATGTACATGCACTTTGCTTTACTGTCCTGTCCTTGATAATTACTTAGATGATTGATTTAGTAAATAAAATTGGTCATTTAGTAATATAAATAATTATAATAATTCATATTTGACCATTTTAAATTGCAGCACCTCTGGCTCACTGAAGCAGTGGTCCACAATTTTGATAAATATGCTTATTTCCTTTCTTTCTGAGGGTGAAATGTTCTGATGGTTGTCAATCTTGCGTCTGTGTGTTAAGTACGAGGGTGAAACAGCTAGCATGGCTCCATCCAAAGTGAAAAAGTTATACAGCACTTCTGGCTATAGCATGAGCTACCAGATCCATTGGTTTTAGTCTCATACACGACAGTATCTATTGATTTTTTTCATGCCCACTTCCGTACGATGAAAGCCTGACGCAGCGTCGTCTGTGCTGGGATTAGCTAGTAGTCGCTGCCGTGAGTTATGAGCATTCCTATGCTGTGACAAGTGTGTGGATGAATTTAACATCATTAAGTTGTTACATTTTATACTAATTTAGCTGCTGGCTGGCTAGTTAGCTTGCTAGCTTGCTATTTCCATGCTTTCATGCTACACTGGTGGCGCATGCTGGCTCTAGCATTCTCCACCGCTTAGACAAACGTCCACCAGCTCGCTGTCACTGGTCCGTCTCACGAGCTTCCCAAAGTCTTGAGGCGCTGGAAGTGCAGGGTGCCCTAGCTAGCTAATTCTTGTCTCATTTGTGTGGTCTGATAAACAGTAACTTCATCAACACGTCCGTCAACAGCGCATCGAGGCTTTGGCTTTTGCAGTGGGTGTAGTTTCATCTAAAGTTGGTTGGAAGAAAGGTAGACGCAACATCATTGTAACAATAAAGCTGCACTCATGTGTTGTCAGTAGAGTTGAAAGAGTAGGAAAAGTTCAGGCACGATTCCTGGATGTTTACCCCCACTGTTAGCCTTAAATGCACATCTTTAATGAGCTTAAAGATCCAGTGTGTAGATTTGGGGACATCTCGGGGAGAGGTTGCAGATTGCAACTAACTGAAACCTCTCTCGTGTGCCAAGCGTGTTGGAGGACACCGGCGGCTGACACGGAAACTCAAATGGCACTATCTAGAGTGTTTGGTTAGTCCGTTCCGGACTACTGTAAAAAGACGGTGGCTGGGAGGACCCGCTCCGTATGTAGGTATAAACAGCTCATTCTAAGCTAACAAAAACACTTTTCGTATTGTTAGATGATTATACACTAAACATAACATACCTATTAATATTGTATTCAATTTCTGCCAATAGATCCCTCCTAAATGATACATATTGACGCTTTAAATAAGCTTCTTTTGTTCCATCTTTGTAGTGTATTTATAAGTTACCTAAGTTGATTGTTTTTATAGTGGCTGTAACTTCCAGCTTTGCAGCCATTTTGCTTCCGGTCTGCTGACACTACTGTAGTTCTTTTCACCAAGAGGGAGACGTTGTGGAAGACGGGATTTCCTGATATCTCTGGGAAGAAATTGCAACTCGGAGGCCATAATCATAAACTCATGATTATGGTCTGAGCAGAATGACGTGCACGTGGCACAAGACTTGAGAAAGCTGTCACCAGTCACTGCACTGTTGTTTGCCGACTAAAACCACAACATTTCTGTTGGTGTACATGTTGTATAAAGGTAGCTAGGCTAACCACATCCCAACTCCTCCTCTGTACTTCACACACAGACACAAGGTGAATATCCATTTTCTCACTCAACTAATCCTTTGAATTATTAAATATATGGTACACCATCAAACAGCTTACCTTTTATCATATCACTTAACAATTGAAGTGATCTAGTAGTTATTGAGGGACACAGGGCTTTAAAGTAAAATGTTACCAAAGGTGTGTATTTGTAATATTTTACATTAGATGAAATGGTCAAATGAACTCTCATTATGCAAAGTTTCTTTTGTCAAACTTCACTTGTACTCAGATGGACATTTCTACACAATTCTCTCTCTGCCTTTTTTCAAATGTGCGCTAAGAGACAGAACTACATTACAAAGTTCAAGCACTGCCCGGCACCTCCAAGAGGTGACAGCTGGCATCGAGTATGAGCAAACGCATTGTGGCGTCGGCACTTAGAGCCCGAGCCAGTCACTGGGTGTCCAAATAGATTAAAGGACCATACCGGTGTCAGGTTTACATTTCTGCTGACCGTTTTACAAAGCATGCTGTAGTGTTTCTTAGTTCATTTTAATTCCACTCAATGGACATGCAGAAAAGTTGAAAACTGATCGAGCTTAATTAGTTTGTTCACCAAAGCAAACAAAAATATAGACATTTGTCTGTCTGTGTAGTTGTAATTATAGCCAAGTAGTTTCCAACAAACTGATACGATATTATGTTAAAACTGATCTCAGGTCATTTTCCAGTCATTAGGATTTTAGCAGGCCCATCAAGGAAATCTCTTCGGGAAATTAAAAACACAACTATGTTACTATTACATAATTTCTTGGTCCTTTCTTAAAGAAATCAAATAGATGGGGATTTGCCATAGATTGTATGTAAAGATGGACGACATGACAACTGTGAAAAAGTGAAGCCAAAACATCTGGATCGCCTGGTGGCTCACTGCCGTACAGGTCATAAACCCCGCCCCCCTCCTCGTTAGCAGATGGGACAAAAAAATCAAAGTACTTAAAATTAATTTTTCCCAAAGATGGTTTCTGTTATTCAGGTTAGTTCTCACCACGCTGATAGATGCTCCAGTGTTCATTTTTCTGATAAGTTTGGTTTTGATGAGTTATTTGATGCTATAAAAAGGGGGTAAGACGTCTTAAGTTGTACTTGGCTCTCTATTGGCTCGAGTGGGTTTGTGGGCAGGACCCCGATACCATGTTGCAGTCCCCCCGATCACTACTGTGTAGACTCTGGCTCCAAACCATGTCAAAATCTCAAGATGGCAGCTTCCATATGTGGGATATTTTGGCTTCTTTTTTGGTACAGCGGGAAGAAACGTGTCGTCCATCTTAATATACAGTCTACGGTATTTTCCCAGGCACACTGTCTTAGAACATTATGTCATAATTCCTCCGGGGAAATTCTTCGGAAATTCTTTTTATTTTCTATCCATTATAAAAGAATTACAGGACCGGCTAAATGAAGTGTTAACTGAAATCGTTCTCAAAGGTGGACTTGAAAAGTCTTCACATTGGGATACGAAATAAAAGTGAAAATCCAAAATAAGAACACACATAATGTTCACTGTGATGGATTTCTTTTCTCAAGCGAGCTTCTAGTTGATTTGTACATTATGTATTAGTGTAGAAAAATTTCATGCTGTGGAAAATGGATGGTAGTCATGTAAAGCACACACGGCCCATGTGAAATGGACTCCAGTTTAAACACACCGGTATGGTCATTTAAAGAACAGCTTACACAAATCTTAAGTGCTCTTTTTCGTCCCGTTTATTTATTGTCTTAGCAGTAGTAAGAATTTAGTGTTTGTACTTATGGTAATTATGTATTTAGCTGCACTGTTCTTGTATTGTACATAAGACAAAATATCCCCACTAAAAGTACTGTATGACGCCTACATTTTCAAATTCACACATGGTATGTGAATTTGTTTAAACACTAAGCAAAATTATCAATCTCTACTTACAAACCAGTATCTCTAATAGTGTACGCCATGGAGCTCCGAGCTCCGAACGAACACTCTGGCATTGTATTGATTTAGGGACATGCCAAATTCATTTGCTGTTTAAAAGTCGATGGCGAGGCACGTGGCAGTGGTGAGTGCTGCTGCCCACCAACGCGCTGCTGCTGCTGCTGCTGCTGCTGCACTGTCAGCCTCACAGCGCTGCACGTCCGTGGTGTCGGAGCCCCGGATGGGTTTGGGCTTCTTTTGTCCAAGAGGGGAAATCACTTTTAGCACAGGAACGTCAAACTACAAAAGAATCGCCAATGTTTCATTGTATTTGTATTTTTCGGAAATTGGTTAATAACCCATTTTGTGAACTCCTAGTTTTGAAAATAAGTGGAAATATATTGAGTTCATGTGGATCGGTATATAATGGCAGCTTGATTTTGTTAGCCACGATATCCCTGCTAGCCAACCGTAATCTCATCAGAATGTGTTAAATGCTCCGAGTACTCTGAAGAACACTGCTCAGCTGACTTTCATAGACTTTAATTCCTCAATGTGAACTTATTAATTAATTTATTTGGAATCTTGTTTGGGGGGTTCGGGGGTCGGGTGTGGAGGAAGTTGCATAGATGTTAGATGTAGGTTGCTACCCTTTCTTAGAGTTGATTTGTTAATGGTTGTATTTTCTTTGTTGTTGCCAATTTTCATATGAAAATAAGTCTTCATTTACAAGTCACACATGTACTTACTTCAGTTTATTTAAACTTAAAGAGGTGTGAGTATGTTTACAATTGTTGTGTATTACCTTTTTGTTTTTGTAAAAAGTAATTGAGACCTGAGAATTAAATTAAACAGCTAAAAAAGTTTTTTGTTTAATTTTTATTTATATAAGTATTGATTCATTTGTGAAAAAAATAAGCATCTGACAAGTGCAGCTACAATTTCTTGCCTTAGAGGTTCCAGAGGCCAAACTATCTCATGAGGGAACAATGGATTTTATTCAATGGAAACTGCACTGCAGCTTGAAGTTGCCACAGTTGTGATAAAACGTGGACGTGGCCCCTTCTGTCCCCTTTATTTGACACTTTTTCTCTCACTGTTCATAAAGCGGTCCAGTCTAAAGACATGCAGGTTGGGCTGATGAGCGTGGACGGTTGTCTGTCTCTGTGTGTCTGTGTCCTGTATCTGAACGGAGACATGTCCAGGGTGTAGCCTGCTGACCCTAATGGATGGATGGATGGATGGATGGATGGATGGATGTTCAATAAGCTCCCCTTTGAGATCAGCCACGTACACCCCCACCCCTCTGGAAATATGGAGATCCCAGACAGTTCAATGTCAATAAATAACTGAAATAAATAATCCTATCAATAAATACAGACAGAATATGTAATATAACTATGACATTATTATATAATGCATTGCGTGACAAATACATTTTTAAAAGTTAAACTGCTGGAATTTTTTTTTAAATGCAGAAAGAGACAACATTCTGTAATAATCAGCTAAGTTTAAAAAAACTTCCAGTTGTTTGGATTATTTCACAATTTCATTGCTACATTATACATTTGCGTGTATTTATTCATATGCATATTCCTTGTTTATTTATTTAATATTGACCACTGTGGGTCTCCACATGCTCTTGTAGGTGTCATGAAGGAATAAACCATAATAGAGGACCAACTGTTTTAAAGATTAAAATGTACTTAAGCAGCTCATTGAAGGCTGCATTTCAGAGATGTGAACAATCTAATGTTTCAAGCTGAGGAGGTGGAACAATATTCCTTAATGTAGGGAACAGGATCAATTCTGAAGAGTAGCCACTTGTAGTTATTATAAAGAAAAAGTCAGGAGTTTGAGGAAAAGATGTCAGAACAGAAGTCTGACATTAATGTTGAAACAATGACTTATTAATAAATGAATCTCAGAACTCATTGGCCATAATAAGAGCAAAATATATGGTGATGATAGAATCTAAAGGAACATACCAATGGTTCCTTTTTCTCCTGTTTGACTATAAAATCCATTTACTTCCTATTACTGCCAGCCATAAAGCACACTTTAATCTCTGAATTATGCTCTGTGTGGTTTGGTGCAAACATGACCTCGTTTGGACTTGAAACTGGCCTGCGTTATGTAATCCATCAGACACTGTAATATTGTGCAGTAACGCAATGCAGACAAAGAAAAACTTTAACCAAAAGAACTTCAACAAAAGTAAAAGCTGACATGTTTACTGTGACAGCTTAGCTAACACACGCAAGTATCTGCAGCTGGCCTGAAATAAATGAAAAGCAAATAGCTGCCATGTTGAAGGCGTGTTTACCAGTAATCTGCAGTGGTACAACTTTACACAGTATGCTGAAATATTTATATGGCATAACATGATTATATCACACGTGTCAAGAAATATTTGAAGTATTTGATATTATCTGAATAGTCAATTACATTGCTGTAATTGCATTTTTCTTCTTAGGATGCTTAACTTTCCAACGACTCTGAATGCAGCTCCAATCTATAGGCACAGTTATTGTTTAAACCATGAGCAGTGGTTATCAGGGAAGACTTTTTCCTTTAAGTATTTTTAAATGACAATAAATGGTGGCAGAAATACTTATTTAATCCAATCTGTTTACAGAATAAGTTAATCGGGGCCACTTGAATCTCAGATTGTGATGTTTGAGTTTCTTTAATTTTTTTGAATCTCAGTCGAACAGACTAAGCACTTATCTACCTGGATAGTTCAGCATACCTCGTCTTATGGGTAAGGACTGTATGATAGACATGTAGACAGTTTCTGTGGCGTTGTTTCAAACTTTTTACAGTGGTCACTTCATCGTATTTGTAGATTTTGGTGAGCCATTTTTACCTGTTTCTTTTTTTATTTGAGTACCTGCAACATGACTGTTAAATGCAGATTGAGCATTTTCCATTTCCTTTGAATGTTCAAATGACTTGTGTTTTGTTTCGATTATTTTGTAAATATTGTGCAACATGTCATGTTTTGATTATTTGATATGAAAACGGTTTTTAAAGGACAAAAAAAAACATTTTGTCTAGGTATTTTTTTTCTTGAGAAATAAAACAAAAAGCATGAGAATTCTACAGTGTGGTGTTGGTGTGTGGATTCTGATTCAATATCTGTTCACAAAATGATTGCTGTTTTGTTAAGAAGCATTTAATCTGAATACAATATAAGGTTTCATAATTTCTCATGAACTGGCCGTATATAAATAACTATATACAGATACACACTGACTAACCAAGATTTCAATTTCGAAAAAGTATTTTAAGCGCACAAAGTCCATGTTACAGAAGCAAAGAGATCCTCTGAGGAGTTCGCTCCATAATCCATCGTGTTGTTTCTGCACACTCTTAACAATTCAGCCATCACATGGAAAGATGTCCACATAAAAAAAAGGTACATTCCTTTCCCTCTATGTTCCCACATGTAGACGTTCTATGGTGCTTCAATTCCAAAACGTACTGGGCTTTGGCACTGAGCCGCTGCCTCGTCATGGCTGACTGTCTCACCGGCTTTGGCCCCGCGTGACTTGAGTGGTGAATCAATGTTGAAGGCTGGATACACTGATAAAGTTTGTGGAACACAGGCTCCTCCTACCACGGTGTTAGAGCCCCGTCGCCTCACTTCTTCATGATAGAGGAGATATCCAGAAACATGCTCTGAGAAAGACAAGAGGACAGCTTGAAGTTAGACGGTAGCTGGTGCTGGACAAAACGCACAGTGTATACCTGGTGTGCAGTGACGCAAGCGTCTGTCAGCACTTGTCCAGTATCACTGCTTAAAGCTAGGGTTGGTAATATTTATTATATTATATATTCGATTGTTCAAATTTTCATCACATCCAAACAGCAATCAATAAATCAAATGCATTTGTGACTGTCACAGGATTGTAATAAGTCATCATCATTTCATTCAGCCTGAATGGATTGGACGGGCTACCTGTCTGTCTACTTACCTGTCTACCTGCCTATCTGCCTGCACTCTGGTGCTGCTAGCTACTTTTATTGCTAGCTTCAACACTGGGCTGGGCTTTTAGGTTGGATCATTTTTTTAAATCTATCGTACTCTTGCTAGTTTCTCAACATTACCAACCTATAAATAAGTTCACCAAATATTCTTCAAGTGCACATTTCTGTAAAGGGATATTTTCACATCTGGGAACAAAGAATGATGAAGACGTCAATATTGCTCCTAATTCCAAAATGGAAGAAAAATCAGTGCAGAGGTATACATATTCTGTAAAAATGTTGTTGATGATGTAACAATAAATGCAGCAATCATATGAAATCTATTAAGCCCAGCAGAGGTCATGAGTAAGAAAAAAACAACAAATGGGTAAAATAAATTGTAGGTACATTCTCATTAATGTATCAACAGAACAAGTGTTTTGTTAACATTTTAAAGGGATGTTAAACACTGTTCAACAGATGAAATACCAGTTTCTAAGACATGTGTTTTTTATTTACGTCCCTTAAACATGTTGAAATGTTAACGGGTATGGTCTGTTAATTCCATTGTACAAAAATTTGACAGCATGAATTAATAATTAGTGTGCACAAATTATAAAATTGAGAGCACAAGGTCTGCGTAGCTAAATGTGTTCATGAAAGATTTATAATCTATAAAATTCATATTGAATCTAATTGTAGATTTATACTTATTTATTAATTCGTTAAGTGTTCAAATGTCAATTTTTAAGAAACTATTATAAAATAATTTCATTTCATGATCTGTCTGATCTCATACAAGAAATATTATTCAATTCAGTACCGTTAGTTCTGTCTATAATTCCAACACGCTTGCAATTGCCTCCTGACTATTGTTGCTGCTGTTTTGCTTTTCCTGTCAGAACTGAAGGGCTTTATCTGAAACTTTAGAGCAGTTTGATTTCATCCCATTACACCCTTCTGAGAACATTGAGTGGACAGAGGCTGCCAAGTTGTCAATATTGGGCTTCGTCCAAATCAACAGAAACTATTTGTTCTCTCTCCCTCTTTCTCTCTTCAAAACACTGATTCATATCTTCTGCTGCCACTTTCTGTTTGATTACTCTTCATATTCTGGCAAAATTTGTTGGTTGACTTAGTGAATGAAATGCTTATCTTCAAAACTCTACCAGTGAGCAAGCGTCAGAGGAATTTTCGTTTTGACTTCTTTGATAGTACACTGGCAGAAGCTCCAGGTTTCATACATATAACAGATATAGACTATTAGACTCTAGGCACCAAAGGCAGAGTAAACCAAATTCGGACACATGAGAAAATCTCTGCTCTTTACTTGCCATTGACATTCTTCGGCCCCCGGCAGGCGGCATCATCGGCATGTCTCCCTGCAGGGAGCCCAGTTCATCTGACTCTTCTGAGGTATGTAAGGAAGGGCTCGTGGAGCCACTGATGGAGGACAAGCTCTCAGATGGTGGCCTGATCATGAAGCTGGTCTTCCTGGGGTTGGATATCAGGACGCTCTCCATTGACTCCCTTCGCTCGTCCTCATCCAGGTTTCTGATAGCGCCGGGCCTTAAGGTGCTAGTGGACAGCAGAGCTTCCAAATGGCTGGGGTGAGGGCGCTCTCCCTCATGGGGATCCGCATGATGGCTTGTTGAACTTCCCTCCACATTTGACACAACAGAAGCCCAGGCTAGATGATGGTCCACCATAGCTGTGCGGACTTCTGGACCTTCATGGGTTTGGGGGGCCTGCATGGCAAAGTTCTGGCTAGACCTGAGTGGCATCCTAGGTTCGGGACAGATATAGCTGGTCTGACTGTGTCCCAGATAGGCCACGCTGTTATGTCTTGGTGCATCCTGGTTGGCTTTGAGCCCAGTGTTGTAATATGGAGGCTTCATATCCGCCTCTGGAATCACTTTGAAGGTCTGAGTCAAAGGCCCGTTGTGAGGTGATACATTACTCATTACACAAAGGTGTGGTAAGGACTTCTTCTTAGACTTGTAAATCAAACTGTCATCTTCCGTGTACCTTTCTCCATACAGTGTCTGTTTGATTTTCCTGATCCCCAGGTGGGATATTTCCAGAATGTTGAGGAACAGTGACACACCAGCAATGGCGATCATGAAAACCATGAAAATGGTCTTCTCTGTGGGCCTGGAGATGTAACAGTCTACACTGTTGGGGCAAGGTAGCCTCTCACACCTATAGAGGGGCTCCAGTTGGACACCATAAAGTATATACTGGCCCAGGATGAAGCAGACCTCCACCACAGAGCGTGTAAGGATATGGATGATGTAGGTTCTTAACAGAGAGCCTCTGAGAGGAGCCTTCTTCACCCTCCTCTGCTCATCCAGCCTCCTCAGCTCCCTCTCCATGCGCTTATGTTCGTCCAAGGCCAACTCAACCTCGTCCAGCTCCTCCTTCAGCTGGGCCCGTCTGCGGTGGCGCTCCTTCTCTAGTGCTCGCATGCAGTAGAGGGCATGGCCCATGTAGACCAACGATGGCGCAGAGACAAAGATGACCTGCAGGACCCAGAAACGTATGAGGGAGATGGGGAAGGCACGGTCGTAGCAGACCACCTTGCAGCCTGGCTGGTCAGTGTTGCAGACAAACTCGGACTGCTCGTCGTCCCATACGTCCTCAGCGGCCGCACCCAGGATCAGCATGCGGAAGATGAAGAGTATGGTAAGCCAGATCTTGCCCACGATAGTGGAATGAACGTGGACCTCTTCTAGGATGCTGCCCAGCAGGTTCCAGTCACCCATGGTCAGCGTCTCACCACTTCACTGCCACATGTCCTCAAACTGTGGAGACACAGCATGCACAAAAACAAACATATTAACTATGTTTTCACTATGAAATTCGAAAGGACAGCCACAGTTTACAGGTTTTATTTTTGTATAAGCGCTATTGATTGACAACATTGAAATTACTGAGTTCACAGGACATGGCAACCTCACTAAAACTAAATCATAAGTCATTAAGTAAATAAGTCAGATGATGATAAGAAAGTGACAGTTTAGCCAGATTGCCTACGGTTTCCTGCGGCGGTAAAACCAAAAGTTGGTGCAGCAGTAATGCCACTAATAATTTGCTCAGGAACACACAAAGGTGTGCACAACTACAGTAAATTCAAGCAGATAGTTGGGT